ACATATTTGAATTATATTTTATAATTTGTTCTTGATTTATAATTAGGTTATATAGATACGTCATCATAACAAAATGGCAAAGAGGAAAAGGTTGTATTCAAAACATATTTCGATGAGCTGTCGTGAGAAATATTACTATGGAAACAAAGATATAGATAAAATTCACTGTTTTTCATAACTAGGAGCTGTGCATACATTGTTTGTAAAATTTCAAAATATATAGATAATTTTTTGTTTTGTTTTTTGCACAAATCTTACCCACCGGAGTACTAGACAAATAAATAATGATGTGATGACTTGATCGTTTTTGTTTTTGAATTTCGCGGAAAGCTACACGAAAGCTATCTGCGCTAGCCGTCCCTATTAACCGATACATTATAACGCCCCCACGGCTGAAAGGGCGAGCATGTTAGGTGGGACAGGGATTCGAACCCGCGACCCTAAGATTGGTAAATAAAGGGTTAAAGCAATATCATGTTCGAAGTGTCCCCACATATTCTGATGAGTCCAATAATGTTTAATAGCTTTTAAGTCACCATTTTGCTCGAGTAGGTTTAGTATGTTACTAATGTTTAATTACATAACATGGCACATAGAAAATACTGATATATCAGTTTTATGTATGTGTCTCAGAAAATTAGAAGTAGAGATACTATTTCTCCAAGCCCGTGCATCTGAAAAATATAAATAGGGAATGAAACCAGTCATACGATTCGCCGACACAGAGATATGAAACAATCTATATATATATATATAATAGTCAAATGTCTGTCTGTCTCTCTGTATCCCCTGAACGATTAATTATAGAATATATATATATGTCTATATATATATATATGAAGATACTTATTTTCAAGAGTATATTACATTAAAATTATTATTATTTGTTTTCCAATTCCTAAAATTTCATATCGACATCAACCTTGATCCTTCAATTGTCGTATGTGCTTAACGGTCAATCTGAGATAAGCTTATTAAAAACAAAAATGTTTCCTATTGTGAGGGGAAAAAGCTTTGTTGACTTGGTGACAGAAGTATTTCGAAGATAGGAGCGTGAACGCAAAGAACGCAAAAAAGAGAGGAACGTGTTTGAGTATATATTTATTGTTGTTCGGTTTATATATTTGTTTTTCAAATTTTAATATAATACATGAATGATTTTATTATGCCATGTCGAATAAGTTGATTTGAATTGAATTAAATATCCCCCTTTGGCATTTCGTATAGAATCGACATCTTTCAAAAAGCGCTTACTTTGGTAGCGGTCTTTTCTTGCGCTCAGTAAAATGAGAAAGAAAGGGGGCATCCAGCGGAAAACATCCCCGTGCTGAATGCATCTATTGCATAGAAATCAAAACATTTTTTTGTCGGTTAACAGACGTTATTCATTTTTTCTCATTGAAATAACACATGGAATGACAAAATATGGTTTTAAACGGCCCAGAAGATAATCATATCTGGTTCAAGGGATTGGGTTGACTGTACATTTTATACTTATTCATCATTAGTTTTAGGGAGTTTACCGTTGAATTGTTTTAATGAACATCTATTAATATTATATAAAGTTTAACATTACATTACCATCATGTTAGATGGTGCAAGCTTAGCTTTTAATAAGTTAATTAATATGTGTTTCTAGGTTACATATATAGTCCAATATAATTAATAATTAAACATAGTATTTTGATCAACAAGTAGTATAAAATTATGTTTTAAGGTCATCTCTCTTGATACACTATCTTACTATACATTACCTAGAATATAAGTAATATAACTGAATTTGTTTAATCATACTGACTCCCATATACTGTTTTAGTGCCCAAGATTAATTGTTACAAGTAATATAACCCCATTTGTTGAGACGATTCTCTTCCATTATACATTCTTAATAGCCTAGGACACTTGACTTCTAGGTAGTATTTGGTATTTTCACCCTAATAAGCGCCTTTTGTGGCACATGAGCAAAACGGTCTGGCCAGACGTTAAAAGGTTCAGACTTGTTGACTAAAGGAAGCGTAACCAGTCAGCATTATTTTCTGTCTATACTGCCACTTTTTCGGACAGCGGGATTAACTGAAACGGTTATAACGTTAAGACAACTGAAACTGTAGAGCGGGTACAGCAGCATATTACGACTTAACCCTTGGATCTTCCTATCCATAACTCGGCACACTATCCACTAGACTTTATTAGTATGCAATTTTTTTTATTGAAATAACAAAATACGGTTGTAAATGGTCCACTAGACAATCGTATTACATATACGTTACGATTCAAGGAATTTGGTTGACTGAACATTTTATATCTATACATCATTATTCTTAGGAAAATTATCGTTGAATTATTTTAACGTGCACCTGCCAGTTGATGTATAAATGAGCGTAGCAAGCTGAGGGATAATGAAATAATTTAAAAATAGTTTCTTAAAATATAATGAGATCGTTCTTTTGTTTATTGGCTCAAATTTTACTTAGATGTTTTGAAAGAAATTACGAAACAGTTCTTTATTGGTAAATTTAAGACACTAACAGTTAGCGAAATAATTTCTCTTTGTATGATATTCGTAAAGTGAGGATTAATGAATGCAACTCTTTAAGTGTGATCTTCAAAGTTGAAAGAGACGATAAAGCCAGTTTTCAGATAGCGGGAAGTAATAACATCAGCTCTTTTTATATGAACTTGAAAACATGTGAGATAGTGACACATTTATTCTAAATAAAGTTAAAGCTAGTGAACTATTTCTCAATAAGTGACTTTCAGAATCCAGGAAATTATTTATTCAGTTTATTTTATATGAGTTTAAAAGTATGAGAGATGCAAATGGCTTTGGATATTTTATTTTTTTAAATATTATATACGCATTAACGACTTTAATTGTAAGGTGCGCAGGATGTATAGTGAGTACTGACTTCTCTCTCTCTCGCCCTCCGGTGGCACAGCGGTATGTCTGTGGACTTACAACGCTAGAATCCGGGTTTCGATACCCGTGGTGGGCAGCGCACAGATAACCCATTGTGTTGCTTTGTGTTTAAACTTCAAAACAAAACAAACTGCTCACTCACGCCTAAAGTTTCCTCAAAACTTGACATTCGTCGATTGCCTTTATCACAGTAAATAAAATAAAGAAAACGAAAGTGTAAAGTAAGGAACTCATAAATTGATATCGTAGAAAGATTTAGTTCACAGTATGATTTATAACTGTTAGTATTAATGTTTCTTAGAAAGTATAAAAAGTGGTATGACCAAACAGAATAAAACGAATACATATATAACCTTATGAGTATGAAAATTTCATTTTTTTAAATTGCTTCTAGTATTTTTAATTATTTTAGAAAATTATGATCAAGATTTTAAATAAAAACACCTTTGCTCAGACAACTATATCCATTGTAGTAGTGCCCCCCCCCATGACACAGCGGTATGTCTGCGGACTTACAACGCTAGAAACCGGGTTTCGATACCCGTGGTGGGCAGAGCACAGATAGCCCATTGTGTAGCTTTGTGCTTAACTTGAAAAAACAACAACAGCAACCATTGTAGTAGTAATATAGTAAAGTATTAGTTTGGAGGTTATCAAGCACAAAGCTAGAAAACGGACTTCTGTGCTGCACCGGAATTTAGCCTTGTAAACCTTAAGACTAACCATTGTGACACTGGGGACATGGTGGAGTAAATAATGATATATTAATGGTAAATGATGTCTGTAACACAGACGCGCAATGCTTCGATCTGTCAAAAGAATAACTTTTATTCCTAAATGCTTTATTACTTACAATATTCTAATTTGCTCTAGTCTTACAGAGAAGAATAGAAGCTGTGAGATTACCATCATTCTTGTCTTTCGAAATTTAGATCAAGGTTAAGCAGGAACGAGGAAGAGTATTACCACTTACCACACCTTGTTTCTTTTCTTTAACCCGCTCTGTGCCAAGAACAACTAATAGCAACTTGTATGTCTATTAACAGGCATTTTGAGATCACAGCGTTAGCCTTGAAATGCACACTTTTCTATCTAAAGGATAAATCTAATACTTTGGAAAAAAATAATGGATAAAAATAACTTAGCTTTTTTTAAAAAAA